CTAGAGGCGGTTTAGCCAATCACAACACACTGGGCTAGCTAACCAATCAGAGCCCATTGCCTATTTATGAGGGCGGGACTTCATAAAAACAGGAAAAGATCAGTTTCTCAGAGAAGGGACAGAGAGGTGTGGAATAAAGGTAAATTATGTGAAAAATAATGCGTTTTTTTTTAAATGAAGCATTAGCACATGTTAGACTGGACCCCATAAACACAATCAAGCCTAGAAAAAGACCAGTGAACCACCCCTTTAAATTAAATAACTTTGTGCGCCGAAAAGACTGAACACGCAGGAAACCTTTATCCACCGTTGGATACCTTCCTTGGGCCAATTGCGTGGACCTTACACCATACTTTACAAACCCTCAAAAGCTTACAATGATTTCAGTCATTACTAGAGAATTATCATGTTATTCACTTTAGAATACTGATCCAAACAATTAGTAATTCCTTCTGAAAAATTTGGTAATACTTGTGTCATTACAAGTGGGTTACCATGAACTTTATTTTAGAATTAAGTATACATCGTGCATTATTCATATTATTATGAACCTGCATACAGTAGTTTTTAGTAGTTCTTGGGGTGGTATGAAAAAATAATAGCTACTGATTAGCTAATAGTGAACCACATTCGACTAAGCTCTATTACTTACTAATTCATTAATCAGAGTTTCTTGTTAGATACTAGTAGTTACAAGAGTGCTAATATTGTGTTACTTGCGTGTTCTTGTGTAGTTATTCATTAATGATGGAACAGTATTCTAAAGTGCCAGCCATTTGCCAGTTCATCTGGTACAGTGGAATCCCGGCTGTAAATTGAAATCCATGGCTTAGTGTGGATGTCAAAACCAAAACGACATAACCTATTACTTAACAATAGTCATGTGCCTCAGCAAGTAAAGTCATAATGATATCTTTGCAAATCATTAGCTAATGATAAATTAAAGCAGACAACTGGAAGTTGAAATACACAGCTTTGACCCACTGTGGTAATTAACACATTAATTCACACTATTAATTAATACTATATTTTGTTAAGAAATTAATACATAATGACATTTAATGAATGTAAATTGCTTGATCTATTAATCAGATAGACTCTTTATTAGTTGCTGATGGAGTAATCCTTAATGAATGGTTTAGTTCTTCATAAGTCATGCATTAACTCATGATTATCTGTGCATTAGTTAAGAATGAATTAATGCTTATTAGTGCACCCGCATTGTGAAGTGTTATCCAAAAATCTCTTGCTTTACTTTCAGTCCTGTGAAACATGAGTCATTATTTGCTGACAACAGAGCAACGTTTTCTATCAGAGGTTGTGGGCATTTCAAGTTGCTAATGTTGAATGGCTACAAGGATATGAAAACACTGTAAGTGACATATTCTGAGACAACAAATTATGCTTTGAAATGGCTTAAATCTTCATGTGAACACTAGGTGGGGACTCTCCATGCAGTTACTCAAGTTACATCATCTATGTTTGCATTAGTTAAGAATGAATTAATGCTTATTAGTGCACCCACATTGTGAAGTGTTATCCAAAAATCTCTTGCTTTACTTTCAGTCCTGTGAAACATGAGTCATTCTTTGCTGACAACAGAGCAAAGTTTTCTATCAGAGGTTGTGGGCATTTCAAGTTGCTAATGTTGAATGGCTACAAGGATATGAAAACACTGTAAGTGACATATTCTGAGACAACAAATTATGCTTTGAAATGGCTTAAATCTTCATGTGAACACTAGGTGGGGACTCTCCATGCAGTTACTCAAGTTACATCATCTATGTTACTTAAGCCAGGCAACAAACTGCATGGTTTATAATTGCATTAACAATTTCTAACTAGTACACTCTTAAGAATTAAGGTTATTTTTTTGGCATCCTTGATTCTATTAGGAAACTTTAACATCCATGGAATCTTTCCATTATGCAAAGGGTTCTTGATAATTAAAAGGGGTTCTTTAGATTAAAAAAATACTAAGAAACACTAAGAAAAAAAAAAGAAGGTATTTTAAGAACTGTTCACTGAAACCTCTTTGGGGAACCAGAAATAGTTCTTCTATGGTATCACTGTGAAAACCCTCTTTTGGAACCATTATATAGATTGGAAATTACCTCAACTAGTTCAACTTTCAGTTTATAAAATTGTTCAGAATTAGTTTTTACAGCACAACCTGACATCGCACTGATATCACCAGTAATTCTGAACAAATTATACATTCTTTGAAAACACAGACAGTGTTGATGTGTGTTTGAAGCTACTCTATAAATAGTTTAAGAGTAAGAAAATGGCAAGAGAGGAAAAGAAGACCACAAAACAGGAAGTCAGTCATCATACTTGCAGATAAAACACAGAGCTCTCAAGTGCAAGAGAAATGTTTTTTAATGTGCCAAAAGACTTTATACTTACACAAAGCCACCTTGACGATATAATAACACTATTTGAAAGCATTATAACACTAATTTTGAGAATAAAAAGGAGAAGAAAATGTGCTATGACTCTGATTGTATGATAAAGCAATGCCGAATTTGAACATACTGAAACTATAATGAAAACCATGCTGAAATACAAAGGGTGAGACATGTACATTTAAATACAACACATTACAGCACATTGAGGAAGCATGACATCGGAACTGCCCAAGTTCTCTCCTCACTATACAATTCAGTGTGAATGTTTAATGAATTAAGTGTTGTGTCCTGACTGGTTTACTTTTCCAGTAAACTGATGTTTTATCTGGTACTTTTTCCTCATGTATGCTACTTACTTACAGAAACATCATTACACATAAACTAACATGCTTCTGTAAAATAATTTCTCTAAATGCTTATGACACTGTATTTTTTTTTTTTACAACACTTGATTGCAGCATTCTTTCCCAATGGCAATTACAACATACAATGTTATAGAAACCTCTCTTGAGATGCCAGCGAGTGACCATGTGACGAATGATATGAAGTCAAGTATTCCATCGAATGCCCTTTGGTTGATGCAGCCTACAATACTCTTAAAAGTCAAGTTTCACAGACAGGCATAGCAATTCTAAGACAATTCTGTTACATATTTTAAGTAGATCATGCAAAAAGAGACTAATCAATTATAAAAATACTGAAACAGTATATGAAATTAACAAATAATACAAGGTTCAAAATAAAAGTCTCAATCAAATTACAATAAAAAAATATTCAAAACTGATCTGAAAATATATGAACTCTTTCCAAAATATTTGAGAATAATAACAATAATAAAAATATGTCCTCTTGTTTTGGATTATCTGTGCTATTTTTATTTTTTTGTAAACATCAATTAAAAAAAAGAATTTAATTATAGGAGTTTATGCCATTAAATGTTGTATAAATGTAATTAGAAATCTAAATTTTAAATCAAATTTTAGAATTTTTCTCTTTGTAGAATCAGCAGACCAGTTACTATGTAACTGTACATAATGAAACTTGTGTTTAATGCTTCTGTTGAGTTAGCTTCCTGTATTTCATACACTTCCCCTTCTGAGTTTGCAGTTCTGTTGAAAGAGCATGAAACTGTGTGATTGATTTCTTCAAAATGGCGTTAACTCGTCTACATCTGACCTTCATTGTGGCGATTATCGGTCCTCTCAGCTCCAGCACAGGTACAAAGTCACTGTAATATAACAACTGAAAACTACTAAATCTTGTTATTGATTAATGTGTAATTATATAATTATAGCAGGAATTTTTAATGAAGATATGGCAAGGCAATTTTCAAACATTGCTGTCTTGTACCAATTACCTATTTTTATTTTTGTGAAAATCAATAGAAAATTGAATGTACCTTTATGGTTCATGCTTCTTTGTCTTTTTATTACCACTTTAACAGATTCCTAAATCACTTTTAATGAGTAATAAATCACAGTTTAATGATAATTCGTTTGCAGCTATAATAGTGGGTTAATCAGTAATTGCTAAACAAGCAAAAGCATAAATTAGCTTAAAAAAATCATATTCACTTATGAGCTTTGTTTGAGAATGGTGCCTCCAAATGGCCAGCTGGATCCTCTTTTTTCAGTTCTTTTCTTTTCAGTTTCTTTATTGGGTTTTTATATACAGAACAACAAGCTTACAGATAACAAAGTAAAAAAAAATATTTTATCTTATCAAGATTTTTTTTTCATAAATAACATCATAATTTAGAAGTAATGGGCATTATTCGACATTATTGTCGAATCCAATATAGTTGGCACATGCGTGAATCAGTGGGCGGGGCTAAACAGACAGTGATGCAGAGTTTTTCAGTTCTTTTCTTTTCAGTTTCTTTATTGGGTTTTTATATACAGAACAACAAGCTTACAGATAACAAAGTAAAAAAATATATTTTATCTTGTTATCAAGATTTTTTTTTCATAAATAACATCATAATTTAGAAGTAATGGGCATTATTCGACATTATTGTCGAATCCAATATAGTTGGCACATGCGTGAATCAGTGGGCGGGGCTAAACAGACAGTGATGCAGAAGCAGGCAAAGGCGGTTTTTAGCCACACCTTTACATCATAAAATGGCACATTCCACAACCTGTCGTTTTGGCAGATTGAAACTTACAGGATATTTTTATAGTACAATGAACTCATATCTGTCAAAAGATCAAGGGAATTTTGATTTCTCAGTTCATGACCCCTTTAATAAAAAAGGGGTGCTCAAGTGTCAGCCAGTACTTTATCCAAAAAGAGATGCCATTTGAGAACCTATTTTTTCCCAGCTTTATACAAGTAAATAACTCTTTAATCCACATATCGAAGGTAGGTGTGAAACATGTCTAGCAAATAAAGTTGTAAATACCAGAGGCTTCTACAGTGGTTTTGGTGGATTTCATTTTTATACACTAATAAAACAAATGTTTTCTGCACTCACAAAATGTAAACTCCATTAATACAAACTACTCTAAACTAAATGTTTTTTTTTCTCCCTACAGTATCCAGTGACCAACCAATACCAAAAAAAGTCATGAAAGGAAAATCTGTTGAGCTGGAAACACAAAATAACTTGTCATTTGATCATTTTGAATGGATAAAAGATAAATCAGAGATTGTAGTCTCATATGATTCTAAAACAGGAAACACTGTAGCTTCCCATGAGAGAGTGGATTTTAATAAACAAACACTTTCTCTAACAATAAAGAACACACAGGAGACAGACAGTGGACTCTACACTGCTAGAGCAAGTGGAGAATCAGATACTACCATCAGTCTATATAATGTAACTGTTGGTAAGTTATTTGGGAGTTTTGTCACACTTAGAATTTAGGTCCCCACATTCTACTCAACAGGTATAAAAATGTAGGTTGTAACTGTAGCATCGTCAACTCATATATGGATACAAGTTAGTAGCCTTCAGATTAGCACATTTTGAACTGTTCATTAAAGGAACAGTTCACCCCAAAATGAAAATTTGCTGCTGACGCTTGCTCACCAGTGAATCCTCTGCAGTGAATGGGTGCCGTCAGAATGAGAGCCCAAACAGCTGATAAAAACATCACAACAATCCACAAGTAATCCACACAACTCCAGTCCATCAGTTAGCATCTTGTGAAGTGAAACGTTGCTCGTTTGTAATAAACAAATGCAACATTAAGGCACTTTTGTTGTCCACTCAAATCAAAATAAAACTGTTTTGGACTGTTTTCACTTGTAAATGTTGCATGACCTGTGCATATTTCTCTCCTGATTCAGACAAGACGAGAGATGGGAGAAAGAAATATATTGCTTATATTATATTATTGCTTGTATTTTATATAAAATGTATATATTTATTTCTGCGCTCACAAAATTTAAACTCCATTAAAACAAACTACTCTAAATGTTTTTTTTTTCTCCCTACAGTATCCAGTGACCAACCAATACCAAAAAAAGTCACGAAAGGAAAATCTGTTAAGCTGGAAACACAAAATAACTTGTCATTTGATCATTTTGAATGGATAAAAGATAAATCAGAGATTGTAGTCTCATATGATTCTAAAACAGGAAATACTGTATCTTCCCATGAGAGAGTGGATTTTAATAAACAAACACTTTCTCTAACAATAAAGAACACACAGGAGACAGACAGTGGACTCTACACTGCTAGAGCAAGTGGAGAATCAGATACTACCATCAGTCTATATAATGTAACTGTTGGTAAGTTATTTGGGAGTTTTGTCACACTTAGAATTTAGGACCCCACATTCTACTCAACAGGTATAAAAATGTAGGTTGTAACTGTAGCATCGTCAACTCATATATGGATACAAGTTAGTAGCCTTCAGATTAGCACATTTTGAACTGTTCATTAAAGGAACAGTTCACCCAAAAATGAAAATTTGCTGCTGACGCTTGCTCACCAGTGAATCCTCTGCAGTGAATGGGTGCCGTCAGAATGAGAGCCCAAACAGCTGATAAAAACATCACAGCAATCCACAAGTAATCCACACAACTCCAGTCCATCAGTTGCATGTTTGTAATAAACAAATCCAACATTAAGATGGGAGAAAGCAATATATTACTTATATTATATTATTGCTTGTATTTTATATAAAATGGATTTATTTATTTAGTTAGTTAAAATGCCCTAATGGTGGATTTGTTTCTTACAAACAGCTTTTCACTTCACAAGTCATTAATTGATTGACAAGAGTCACGTCGATAACTTGGATTACTGCAGAGGATCCATTGGTGAACATATGATCTAATGCTAAATTTATCTAAATGTTTTCCGGGTAAAAAATAAAAATAAAAATTACATCTGGCCTGAGGGTGAGTACATTTTCAATTATGGGTTAACTATTCCTTTAAAGTTGAAGCTTTAACTTTAACTTTGTGCATCAGGCATAAGAAATTGTTTTGGTTAAAACACAAATGAATTATCTTCATTATTATGAACTGACACATTCTTTCGTTTCTCAGTAGGTACAAGCAGTCAAGGATCAACTACAGAATCTGTTTCTCTCACTTGGATTATACTCCTTGCCTTTGGCGCAATTATGATTTGTGCCAACTACTGTACTATAGCTACAGATGAACAAAAAAGTTAACTGTATGTATTGTTTGCTTAACAATTATCATTAAATGGACTTCATGCACAAGCAATTTATAATTTCAAAAACATTTTAACGGCACAGTCAGCATTGGCTAATCAGTGTGTAAGCCTAACTTGTTCCACATTTGACATGGCAAATATGCCCCATATATTATAAAACAGATGGCCACTTATGGTTTGGATGTAGGACTTGACACTGGCTAATTGAAATGGAAGTTTGAAATTGTAAATATGGCCTAATAGAATGTGGCTACTTTTAGTAGGATGCAACAAAGTTAACTGATGCAGGTTTATCTGGATATGAGTCTTAAGAATGCTACATACCCAGCAATTTATTTTTTGAAACATGCTTTTAACGGCAGTTTTTGATATGTGTACTGTCCAGCATAAAAACAGAAGTGCACTATAATGATAGCTCTTACTGTCAAGGTTTCTGTTAATTTAGACTTTGTTTTTCTTTTGCACAGTTTCCCTTGTTGTGTTGATTGTATTATTCTGTTTAGGGGCCCGTTTCAGAAAGGAGGTTAAGTGAAAACTCTGAGTATGTTAACCCTGAAATGAGGGAAACTCTGGGTTTTCCGTTTCAGAATGGGAGATATGTCAAACCTGAGAAAGCAGGGTAAGTCAAGCCCGTTTCTGAAAAGGAGGTAGCTTATACTCAAAATCAGTTACCATGGTAACTTACTTTTTTCAACCACGCAGTGAAACTGCACGGCCATTGGTTCGTGCAGTGCCTTAAAAAACAAACCAATGGGTCGGCAGCGGTGCTGCACAAGTCTATGGCGACAAAGCCCGCCAGAATGGGCGGAGCCATCTGGCTATATAAGTGGGCATTCGCCACAGGATTCTCAGGTTACTCCGACTGAAGCGACGACTGAGTCGTGCAGCTACATAGCACGGCTAGGAATGCAGTACTCGTTCCCGTATCTCAGGGAACTGAGGTTACATTAGTAACTGAGTACGTTCCCTGTCGATACTTCACTCGTACTGCGTCTTGCTAAAAGACGCTATGGGAACACAGTACAATCACGCCGTGCTATGGTAGAGGAACAACTGCATATTATAAACTCCATAAGCAAGGATTCCCATAGGGAAGTTAACAAATTAATTCCAAGGCTAAAACTGGGTAATCGTTCCAACAGACAAGTAACTAACCCAAGAGCTTGAGCGTGTTACGGTCAAGGACTCTCTGTTAGAACTAATTGCATAATGCAGTGAGTGTCTCCTTAAGCAGAAGGGACCCTGGCTTGCAAGGCCAGGACTTCTAGGTTATAAAACCTAGCAAATGTGGACGGCGAGGCCCAGCCGGCCGCCTCACAAATTTCCACAATGGACACACCGCTATACCATGCCCAAGACGAGGCGATGCCTCTAGTCGAATTGACCCGTACTCCGATGGGACACTGTAGGCCCAAGGAAGAGTATGCTAGAGTGATAGCATCTACTATCCTCCTAGAAAGTCTTTGCTTTGTGAACGGATGCCCCTTGGTGCGGTTACCGAAGCTAACAAAGAGTTGTTCCAACCTTCTAAAGGGGGCGGAACACTCGATGTAAAATCTTAGAGCTCTGACGGGGCAGAGTAAGGATAACTCTTGATCCTTTTCAGAGGGAGGAAGCACAGAGAGCGTAATGACCTGTGCTCTGAATAGAGTAGAGAGCACCTTGGGTGTGTAACCATGCCTCGGTTTCAGGACGACTTTGGAGTCGTTGGGCCCAAATTCCAGGCAGGTAGGGCTAATGAAAAGCGCCTGCAGATCTCCTATTCGCTTTACCAATGCTAGTGCTAGAAGCAGAGCAGTCTTTAGCGACAGGGACCTTAGGTTCATAGACTGTAGTGGCTAAAGGGAGGGCCTTTCAGGGCCCTCAACACAGTAGGCAAATCCCATGTAGGGATAGTGAGGGGGCGAGGCGGATTCAGCCTCCTGGCCCCTCCCAGGAAGCGGACAACTGAGTTGTTCCTGCCCACTGTGCCAGTGCCCGCTATAGGGACATGTGAGGCCACTATAGCTGCTACATACACTTTGAGCATGGATGGGGTGCGTCCCTTATCCAGCAGCTCTTGTAGGAATGATAAAACCACTGACAGGTCAGAGGTAAATGGGTCTTCGCCACGGTTTAAGCACCAAGCGGAGAAAACAGACCAATTAAGGGCATAGAGGCATCTTGTAGACGGGGCTCTAGCTTCTGAAATGGTGTTTAAAACTCGCTCTGGGAGGCCTGTAGGCTCCCGTCGAGTGGCCAAAGGTGCAGGGCCCACAGTTTGGGTCGAGGGTGCCATATTGTCCTGTTCGCTTGAGAGAGGAGATCCCGTCTCAATGGAATGGGCCAGGGGGCTGCCGGGTCAGCTCCGACAACCAAAGTTGGTTCTTCCAGAGGGGGGCCACCAAGAGGACCCTGTGTCCCTGCTCCTTGATTCGCCTGATTACCTGTGGGATCAGGACGATCGGGGGAAATGCATAAAGGAGGAGGTTGAGCCAATCATGGGCCAACGTGTCCCTGACCTTCGAATAATAAATTGGGCAATGAGAGTTGTCTTCTGAGGCAAAGAGGTCTACATCGGCCTTGCCGAAGATTTCCCAGATTGTCTGAACCGTCTGCGGGTGGAGCATCCACTCCTCTGAGGGAACATTGCTCCGTGATAACATGTCCGCTCCCTGGTTCAATATGCCCGGTATATGCACTGCCTTTAGCGAGCGCAGGTTGAGTTGAGCCCATTCCAGAAGGCGCTCTACCAGAATAAAGAGGCGCTTCGAAGAGATGCCTCCCTGATGATTTATGTAGGATACCACAGACATGTTGTCCGAGCAGATTAGCACATGGTGTCCTTTCAGGACTGGCAGGAAGAACTGACAGGCTCAATACACTGCTAGCATTTCCAATCACAGTTCGTTTCGTTTCAGCGTCACGTTTCAGGGTATGGAAATGTCGCCACAATAACAGACCGGTGTGTAAAACTCTCAGATGTATTTTAAAGATTCTGTGCTGCGAACTTTAAATATTTCACATACTTTTGAAAATTCAGCGTTTAGTTGATCCTGATAAGCGCTCATCGTTACAGTTGTAGACATGACGGCTTTCTTCTTTCGTGAGGGGGTTTGGCGTCAAGGCATCTTTGTTTCCAGGCGGAACATTATAGAGTGCGACACACACGTCTCCCGGAAATCCTGTATAATTCAACCAATCTGATGACGACTTCGAAACTCCTGAAGTTTTCCACTTTTGTGTGCCATATGCATCAGACGTGTGCCATATGCCATATGGGTGTCACGTCTGAGGCTGAGACTAGTTTGCCCTCACACAGTAAAACGACATGCATGAATAATGGCTTCAGTGGTGTAAGCAGTAACACATTGGGCACGGACAACTAGCTTGTGACGCGATCAACCGGGTTCGAGTCTGGCTTTTGCCGAGCTCACTCTTCTCACTTTTCCCATCACATTAGAATTTATTTTCAATAAAAATGAAGAAAATGTTCTAAAAGTGGAAGTAAAGTGCCTAACGAGTTTTTAATAATGATAAAAGTATTTATAATTTTAATAAATATAATCATTACTCTATGTTATTATTGCATCATGTTAATGTACAACAATAATGAGGTGCAAATAGTATGTATTTGCCAGTATAAAGTATAAATAGCATCTAATTATTATTTACACTTA